ATGCCACAGTCACCTAGTTTTTTAATGAGGATGGGGGCGTTGACAGTGTGAAAGGCCTTGCTGAAGTCCAGAAAGACTACATCCACAGCGACACCTGCATCCAATGCTTTTGTGACCTGATCGTAAAAGGCAAGCAGGTTGGTCTGACATGACCTGCCCCTAATGAAACCGCGCTGGTTGTCCTTGAGCATCATTCCCGATGTTGGCCCATCACAAATGTGCTCCTTGATGATCTTCTCAAACAGTTACCCCAAGATTGAGGTAAGACTAATGGGCCTATAGTTGCCCGGGTCCTCCCTCCTCTTTTTTAAAGATGGGGACCACACTGGCCATCTTCCAATCATCTGGCACCTGGCCCGAGCACCACGAGCACTCATAAAGCCGTGCCAAGGGCCCTGCAATAACCCCTGCTAGCTCCCTCAACACCCTGGGGTGGAGAGCACCTGGACCTGCTGACTTGAACATGTCCAGCCCTTCCAGAAGCACTCCAACCCGGTCCTCCTCAACCTTAGGTCTTGAGGCGTTCCCCTCGAGTCCGTCTTGAAACACAGTGGGGGAGTCCCAGTCCCTGCACAAGAACACGGAGGTGAAGAATTTGTTAAAGAGGTCTGCCTTCTCCCCTGGCGCAACCACCAGATTGCCCAGCGCATCTTGCAGGGGCCCCACATTTCCCGGCACCTTCGTCATCCTCCCTATATATTTGACAAAGGACTTTTTTTTATCTTTGATCTTGGACACTAGTTCTAGCTCTATGTCCGCCTTAGCTTTCCTAACAGCCCCCCAACAGGCCTGAGCAGTGGAGGTATACTCTTCTTTGGAGAGTTGGTTGGGGGAGGGGGCCCCCGGCAGTGCACAACTGGCCGGGCGTGAGACCCGTCGGTAGCCTGTGGAGCCACAACCGGCCACAGGAAAGCTGGGTGATTTGTGGCCAAGTGGGGTGGCGGCAGCAGGCGCTGCATGTGAGCCCCACCTCCGTTCATCCCCTCCAGTGCCACCGCTATGTGCAACCCAGGAGGGCACAGGGGGTGTGTGCTCCCAGATCAGCATGTGGGCCAGGGCAGGCTGTGGGCTGCTGCAGGCTGGGGCCAGAGTAGTGCCCAGCTGTTCCCGGCGGGGGCGTTGGGCTGGGCTGCGCTGGGAGGAGATTGGGGGAAATGGCAAATTTTGGGGTGCTGCAGCCCCCCCTGTAGTGCAGCCTGCCCCACCCCCCCCGCAAGAAGAGCCCTCCACGGTGCAGGAGGGAGTGAGGCAGGGGTGAATCATTCACCCTTGCCCCTGGCCCGCTCCCACCTGCACTGTGGGGGGTGTCCCGCGACCCATGCCCCACCCCAACTGTGCAGGGCCTGCCTCAGTCCCAGCCCCACTTCCTCCTTCACCACTGCCTGCATGTTGCTCCCGACCTCTACTGTAGCTGCCAGAAGCCTGTGGCCAGAATACCTGATGGCCCTTTCACTGCCCCGTGTTTGGGAGGGATAAGCCCCGTTAGCCCCCACTTCTGCCACCTATGCTCTGCAGGCTTCTACTGCACATCTGCTTGAGTACACCTACTCCTGCTGCAGAACTGTGTGTGTCCTGCTCATTTCCATTCTTGGCTAAGGTAAACTCAGCTGAATGTGAATGAAAGAGCCAAACAGGCATAGACAGCTGCTAAAAATTCACCCCTCACTTCTAAGTACACTTATAAAAAGACCCTCCCATATTATTACAGTAGCACATGCTGATTTTATTTGGTACAGGGTCCTACTGCATCAAACAATATGTAACATTAGAAGGCAATCCTTACCCCAAAGAATTTAAAGTTTAAAGTACTAACAGGATGAAGGAGAGGAGCAAGCATAACAATAGTTTTTTGATAAAGTTATTGTGCATACAGATGAAGAATACAGAACATATGCATCATACTCACATGCATATGTAGGTCTAAAGAATTAATTTTGTAACAGCCCTTGCTAGCAAGCAACAGTTCTGTGGAGAGTCAATTCCAGATACTATCTGCATCAACTACACAAAGCAATATATGGGCTCCTATATAGGTACAGGGAGGCTGCTTCAACATGCTGTAATTCCAACGTGTCAGAACAGACTCGATTAATCAAGTCTGTTGGAGCATGGTAATTACAGTACTCCAGCACACTCCAGCATCATGTGCATCAGTGTCCTCGCGCTAAAAAAAATGGTGGTAGGGCACTTTGAACTAGCTTGTTCAATAGGCAAGCTTTAGTTTAAAGCGCCCCACCACCATTTTTCAGTGCAGAGATGCTGATGCACATAATGCTCCAGGCACTTTTAACTAGCACACATCTTGGAGCTGCACTAATTAAAGCCCCACCCCCCAGAGCACACTTATAAACACCCTCCGATGCTGTAGGATTGGGTAAGAACTACTAGAGAATAATGGGCAAGGAGACCAGTTTGAATAATGTTCCCAGAATTTTGGATGAAAATTATTCTTCTCTCACTACTTTCCTGCTGGACACTTCGTCACATGGTAGTTGAGTTTATGAAAAGTTTCTATCTTCTGTTATTGACAATACGTATTATGGATTAATAGCTAAAAAGGCAAAAATCTATTTGCTTTCTAGTATAATGGAATTTCTATAACATTTCCTACTTATCTTCTATTGAAGTTTTATTTAAAAAAACATGGTTATTAAATTGCACTAGGCAATCCTTCTTCTACTTCCGTCACTGCCTTTTTTTGTTTTTTGCATTGTCTAAACAATCAAATTAGAAGTTTTTGGATGGACGATTTCTGTAATTACTGGATAAATTCTGAAACACTAACCTGCAAAATAAAATAGAAATAACAATAAAAAGGATGCAGCAATTGTTTTACTTTGTTTTTTAATGCAAAATGGTCAGTGAATTAATCAGCACAGTATGTCAACTCTAAAACAATCTTGCAGAATCAAGAGAATGTATGAGATTCTAATTTATACATGAATGCTATATTTTCAACATGATGCTGGTGACATTTGGGAAATGATCTTAGCTGGAGGTCACTCCATCTATTATTCTACTCAGTTAAGTGACATATACTGTCCACAAAATTTAGATTAGTAATCACAAAATACAAAATTAATATCTGCTGTACTTAGACTATTATGTCTTTATATTTATACATGTGAACGTATATGTATATATACATTTAGTGTCTTTACTGGACTACAAGATTATAAGATGACCCTCCCCTCAAATTAGATTCTATACAGGTTTTCCTTGCTTTATGTA